GGAGCACACATTGAGGATCGAACTCTCTATTCAGACGTAACTGATCGAGCAAGACAAGTTTACTAACCACTACACCTCGTCGAAGTGCCCCAAATCTATGAACATATACACTCTAGAATAAGGTATATAGTATATATAATATATATAAGTATGCACATGCCCGTACATATATTGCATTTCTTTTAAAATTAGAGTGTAGAGTAGGCGGAAGTGAACATCATCAAATCAAAGGAGCAAATGAGAAAATTAAACATTGTGCGCAAGGGCTTCGCGCAGCCTTCCGTGTTTCAAACATATTTCAAATTTTCACTTTCTTTAATAAAAATAAATAGCCAACAAAATCAGCTCCCGCCAATAAATAAAGACAGGCCTTTGGAGCCTACACAAGACCATAAAAACCAAACATTCATTCAACTCCGAAGAAGGACTGACAAGAATAAAGAGACAAAAATCAACATCGGCGTCTTGTCTTTCTCAACAAAGCAACAGTTGATCCTTTTGATCTTGTCTACCATCACCATTTTCTCTCTTCCACACTGAAATTCTATTCATATTTATTTCCTTACAAAGCGAAGAACTTTCTAACTTTCATGATAAGTAATTACAGTTAAAATTTGTGTATCCTACGTTTAAATAAATATTTCATTTGAACACGAAACGGTCTTTTCTCTCATCTTTTTTTTAATCAAACAGTGAAACAAGGAATCTTTCCTCAACAAGAGTGTCATGGGTCCTTACCTATAACTACAGAATGAACTCTTCCTAACACTATGTATACTACGCCTCCCAAGAGAGAGGGTCGAATCGAGTCGAGCCGATAGTAGTTCATTCCAAACCAGACTGACAGTCATACTAACACCTTCCACATCTTGTATTATTATTTCGTGTAATATACCTTCGTTATTTCTACTCTTGTGTTCGTGTTGTTCTTCTTTGGTCCTAACCTGGACCATAACAAAGAGAAACCCCTCTTCTATGCAAATCGCGCGGTTGCCAACTTGAACTCGGGAGATTTTCTTGATAAATTAGCGTTCAATTTACCTATTTAAGGAAGGCACCTCTTTCATTGGGACTTCTAAGAATCTGCTAGCTTCTATTTCATACTCGTAACGTAAACAACAGTAATTTTTTAAAGGATTTCGTAATCTAAGATTCTTTCGTATTACTATTACCATTATTTTTACTAGGTACACGTGTTTGAGTTGCTATCTGTTACGGTATGTGATTTCCTTCATATTTTCTCAGTCCAGCGGTAATCGTTAATCTGGCGTATCATATCTGGTATCTACTTGCCGCACCACGCAGGTAGGATGCGGCACAAGGGTCAGTTTAATGTATGGTGCCCGAGCGCGTATACCCGGGCCAGGTTCCCAAATAGCCCAGCCCCCGGAACCGTCGGTTGGTCTGGGATCGGTATTACTACTGAATCCTCTCTCTCGTGCAATGAGGGAGGTACTGCCGCGGGCATCTGTTCATCGGGATCGGGCACTTCTCAATCCGAAGACAAAGACACAACGGATAGATATCAGATACGATACACCGGATCTCGCAAGTTCGACTTGCAAAACTCGCGTGTCGTATTCTGCATCTCCTCTTGCTGCTTGGGCACTTATATAATCGCCATGCTTTCGCTATGCTAATTAGGTAGTCATTTACATATATCACTATATTATCCTTTTTTTTTCTTTTTTAAACAGTGGAATTAGCGAATAATGATAAGTATTAAGGAAAATGAGAATGAAAGGGCTAAGAAGGTGATAGTTTACATTTCTGGAAAGAGAAAAAGAAGAACAAAATGAGAAGATTTAATAAAAGGGGAGGGGTTCAATAAATGGGGTGGTTAAGAAAAGATTAAAATCAAGTCTTTCAAACTATAAAGAAATAAATCTCGAAGAAATAAAGCCAAAAATAAATGCCCGTCAATGTCTTCAAGTAAACTGCTTTATCAAAATCGAAAACGCTTCCATGAAGTCTTGCCAACGTTACAATATAAATAAACGTCCATAAAAAATAAAATTAAATGAATAAATAAATAAATAAAATAATAAAATAGGGTGGGAAAGTAATAAGCCCCACGTAGCGGTTGGAAGAAATTCAAAAATTAACAAACGTTTATTTGGCATACCAGAGTTCATTTATTATTAGAATTTCTGTCCAAAGTACACGTTTGCGTGTGTGTGTGTGTGTGAGTGAGAGAGAGAGAAAGAGAGAGAGAGAGAGACAGAGGAAGAGAGAGAAATAAAGAGAGATGTAGACAGACAAACAAACAGAGACAAGATAGAAAGATAGACAGACGGGATGAAGAGAGAGAGAGAGAGAGACCCACAGACAGACAAACAGAGAGAGAGAGAGGGGGGGAGAAGAGGGATATTTGATTAACTGTTTACTTTTGCTTGGTTCAATAATAATCGTATTCAAACTTTACTCTTTAGAACATAAAACTAATACTATAATATTGCCTTGTATTAAGATTAGTATTTGGCGTGTACCCCCGCTTTAAGATAAGCTCAGTATATTTCAAACACATTATCCCTTCAAGATATAGGCGTTCATGGCTCTTCAAGTCATCCTCTTCTCATTAAAAACTCTAAACACTTCATTGCAATGACTCTTCTTAGGAAAGATAGTGGAGTGGTTACGCGTTAATTTCCAAGGTTTGAGATGTAATGGGTAGCAGCTCGGAATGAGAAATCGGAGCCAAGTTAGAGCGGAGTTCGAGTCGAGTTCGAGCTGAGTTCATGTCGAGTTCGAGTTAAGTTCTACCCGAATTCGAGTCGAGTTCGAACTGAGTTCGAGTCGAGACGGCTTCTAGTCGAGTTCAAGCTGAGTACGAGTCGAGTTCGAGTCGAGTTCGAGCCGAGTTCGAGTTGAGTTCGAGCCGAGTTCGACTCGAGTTCGAGCTGAGTTCGAGCAGAGTTCGAGTCTAGTTCGAGCTGAGTTTGAGTCGAGTTCGAGCCGAGTTCGAGTCGAGTTCGAGTCGAGTTCGAGGTGAGTTCCACTCGAGACGGCCTCCAATCGAGTTCAAGCTGAGTTCGAGTCGAGTTTCAGTCGAGTTCGAGCCGAATTCGAATCGAGTTCGAGCTGACCTCGAATTCTAATAGAGTTAGTTATATTCACTTACGCGCAAATACCCTGAGAAAGTATGAAGTAATCGCTTCTCCCCCAGTTATGGATTAAATAGTAGGACTTTTATTTGAAAAAAAATCATTTTTATCTCCACCTCCCAGCAAAAAAATTAATGCGATATTCACTCGCAAAAAAAAGAAATACTCTTACAATCCAAAATATGTTTCGGCTATAAATAACACACAAATGTTTGATAAGCCGTAAAAACAAATCAATTTCCACGTTTTGAATTCTGAATTCCCATTCAAGACTACCAATCCTAGTCTGCGCTAGTATTTTACTCATATTTGTGAGGAGAAATAGATTCATACATTTCCATAGAACAGTGATGTGTATTGAATACATCAGCCACAACTGGAATAAACAACCGGACATAATTTGAAATCAGCCTGCCAAATCCATTTATCGTGTCGATAATCGTTACGCCGCCCATGCATCCAAATAGGGAGAAAATAGAAGATATAAAAATGGCATTGTTCATTTATATGAATTCCTTGTGTGTTATTCTCACATGCACACCGACGACAAAATAATTTGGCAAGCTAATCTTGCAAACTAATACTAGTAAGTACAAATCTCTCTGGGTATTGTAGCCTTGTAAGAAGCTTCTTTAAGGTTCGTTAATATTGATATTTTCCTTCGAATTAAAGGTTGGAATTTCGGTATTTTTAAAAAGTCAATTGATTTGGGTTATTTCTCATTAATTTGCTAACAAGAAAACAAAACTATACTTGACGATTGAAATACTTACAGACTCTTTTGATTAAAATAAAAACCGGACCAATGCCTACCTTTTATCTCAAGTGAAAAATGAGTATATGCCTATCTTTTCACTTAATTCATACTGAACCTATGTTTATCTTTTGAATTAAGTGCAACTCCGATAAATTTTGAAACAAGTGCAAACCAGATAAATGACTGTTTCGATTCAAGGGCAAACTGGATTTATATCTATTTTGTAAAACGAGTGCAAAGCAAACAATGTTGACCTTTGATTCAAATCTAAACGGACTCACTGTCTATTTTTTTTTTTTTTACTAAAGAGCAAACCAGATCAATTTCTACTTTTTATTCAAATGAAATATCTACTCTTTGATTAAAATGCAAACCTAGTCATTGTCTACCTTTTGACTTAAATGCTAACCGGGCCAATGTCTACCTTTTGACTAAAGTGCAAACAAGATCAATGTCTACCTTTTGACTCAAATGCAAACAGGATCAATGCCTACCTTTTGACTCAAATGCTAATCGGGTAAATGTCTACCTTCTGACTCAATTACAAATCGAACCTATGTCTAATTTTTGACTAAAGTGCAAAATGAATCTATGTCTATACTTCGACTGTTACAAATTAGACATATATCTACCTTTTGACTCAGTAGTAAACCAGACGTATGTCTACTTTGACATTAATTCATTGCGGTTGTTGTCCTATGTAAATTATATTCGACAAAAATAACCCAAATGATGTTGATGTCTTCTGAAATCAAACGAACTTAACCAGAGGACAACAACACAAGTCGCCACAACAATTTCTTATTCCGTTTGGCAGGGTAGAAATTTTAAAAATAGATTAGGATGTTAAGTTTTTATTTATTTGATTTTTCTCATTTTTATTTCAGAAAAAAAAAAAAAAAAACTTCGTAAGAAATTCTATCGTAAAGAAGATTATTGTGAATCTTTGTTAATGTCAGCAAAACATTTAAATATTTATTGACGAAGATCCCGAAGAAATTGTTCAGGAAAAAAAGTGTAAGTTGCGAGAATGATGCAAAAATAAACATATAAACTAAATCGCCAATCTACGCAAAAAGAAATTGAACACAATTGTCTATTTAAGAGAAACGACAGTTTCAGCGCATTTCCTATACGAGATGGGCCCTCGAGATTCGTTCTTCGGCATTGGCTATTATTCCTGACAATGAAGCCATTTGCACGAAGCGTGATATAGAGAGAATGGACTTGAACAAATAAAGGAAACCGTTTCTTTTTCATTTTTCCTTTTGTTATATTAGCATTTCCTTTTTTTAATCAAAAGCGACAGCATCTTTTATTTTCTTTCTTTCTTTCTTGTATCTTTCATTTTCATGCTTGTCTTTCCATTTCTTTCTTATTTTTATCATTACTTTTCATTTTCTTTCTTTCTTTCTTTCATTACATTTCATTTCCTTCATTCTTTCCTTTTTCATTTTCTTTCTCTCATTAATCTCATTTTCTTTCTTTCGTTACTTTTTATTTTTCTCTATTTTTGTTTTACTCTTCATATATATTTTTCTCTTTTGCCTTTCCATTGTTATTTCTTTTTTCTCTTTTGCCTTTCCATTGTTATTTCTTTTTTCTCTTTTGCCTTTCCATTGTTATTTCTTTTTTCTCTTTTGCCTTTCCATTGTTATTTCTTTTTACTTCTCATTTTCTTTCGTTCATTTTTACTTTACTTTTCATGCTTGTTCTTTTTTATTCATTTTTCTTTCTTTTACTCACTCACTCACCTCACTCACTCACTCACTCACTCACTCACCACTTTCAATTCCCCCTTTATATTTTATTTCTATTTATATCTTCCATAAACTTTTCCCACTATCATTTTTTATTCTTCTTATTTATTTTTTCTACTCTTCTTTGCCTTTTTAAATATATTTATCTCGTTCGTTTTCCTCCTTATATATTTCCTTTCTTTATATTTTTGCTACTACCTGTTTTTGTTTTGTTCTTTGTATTTTCTTTCCTTTTAATTTATTCGATCTTTTTATTCCTACTTTTTTTTAATTCTTCTGCTTTTTTCGTTATTTTATCGAATCCCATTCTTGTAAATAATCATCTGTCGATTTCAGAATTAATTTAAGTCTGTCTGTTAAAATTGTTTTAGAACAATTATACATTTAATAATCGATTCTACACATTACAGTTCTTGATTTTCTTCTCTGAATCGATACCCACAGTCAGATTGTTATGGACGGCTATTTCCTGTTTTTTTTTTGTATTTTATGTATGAAAATGTAAAAAAAAAAAAAAAAAAAAAGATATGTGCCCAAAATATACGACCATCACGAGCTTAATAAGCTTTGAATCGTATTAAATACAAGAATAAGTCCGCCATCGATTATAAGGGAGAATATGACAAATTATTCTAATTATGAGAGAATAAAAAACGAACTATTTCCAGAATAGAAATCGAGCTTCACTATTGAATGAAAGAAAAAGGGAACAAAAATGCTAACCGCAGCCATAAACGCCTATTAAATTATATACTGGTGATGAAAGGAGACTAGAAGGCGCTGATAATACCATGGAAAGAGCCCATTGGCAACGAAGAAGAAAACGAACAAAGAAAAGGAAAAGCCAAAAAGTTTACATACTCAGAATCCTCTCAGCCTTGCCCTACCCTATTTCAACTTTATCCAGGGTGCGACAGAAATAACTCTAATATATACCTACCAGAAATAATGGTAAGAGATTACTAGCAATGGTGTCTTCATCTATCTGATGTATTACCATTATGTATGGGAAGTATTTCTGCCGCACCCTGTATTAACGATCTGCATAAGATTATTCCCAGATTTTTAGTGAATATCTACGCAGATGATACGACACCTTCTCGCACGATCACCGGAGTTAAGTAACGTCGAACCTGGTCAATAACTAGATGGGTGACCGCTTGGTAATACCAGGTGCTGTAAGTTTGGATGTGAGGCTGGTGGAACGGATAACGGCATGGAATTGTAAATCAGAGAGTCGAGTTCGAATTCTCGTTGTTTTTTTTATATTCACTTATGCGTAAATAGTCTTTGGGGAAAGGTATGAATTCGCCTCTTCTCTCCTCCAGCTATGGGTTAAATAATAGGGCTTGTATCAGTAAATGATAAGTATCTCCATAACAAAAATATTTTCTGGCTTTAAATAACTTGCAAATGGTTGACAAACCGTAAAAAAAAACAAATTAAACACATGAAAATAAAGGTATATGGGTGCACCTCCAAAAATCTAGATGACCAGATTTTGACAGCCGATTTCTCTTCTGACCGAGCTGTAACAGCTTAAAAAGTAGTAATGCTAAGTCACCACCGAGAAAATCCTGAATTTTCACCTATCGCGATGAACGGGTGTTCTCTTAAGGAAGTTACTTTGCCTTGAACGACTTTTGGGTTGTATGCGCACATCTGACCTCAAGTGGAAAACTTACGATCCTTTGCTAAAGATGCTGGAAAAATGGTTGGTTTCTCTTCAGTAAGTATTGGTCTCTTCTTACTATGCTCTACATTTCCAAGAATCAGATTAAGCCGAAAATAGAGTACTTACTACCATATTTCGGCTGAAGACTTCCCATTTTCACTTGCCAGTCTTGATAGAGATGAAAAGCGTCTAGGCAGCCTTATTGGTGATTCCCATAGACGAAACATTGTAAGGATCTCGATACTCTGTTGCTATTTCCAGTGAAAAATGTTCTGACGAGGTAAATTCTTCCAGTCATTCAGTTAAAAGCCGTACGTGATACACGATTGGACGACCATGTCTCTTTCGATTCATGACTGACTAGGGAGAAGATTTTCTCTCTAGTAGGTTGCCATTTCTTTTTGCGATAGTTTGTTCTGTTATTCAATCCTTAAAGAAGAGATAGATTCATAGCTTTCCCAAGGGTATTTGCGTGTAAATGAGTGTCACAAACCCGATTGGATTTGAACTCGGACCTCCAATTTCGCATTCCGAGCCGTTATCCATTACTCCACGACACACATACATTGCGTTGTTATTCCAATTCTAAACGTCACGGCTAAGATCCGCTTTGCAACGTACACTGGGTTGAACCACCCTGATTCCATTCGTATACTTCGAAGGAAGTTCCACTCGAACACTTTCCTTCCAGGAATCACTACATTGTGGGACCGATTCTCGAGGAATGCTTTCCCGATCAAGACAATCTTCAAGTCTAGGGATAACCGTTATTTTTCCCACATATCCTCATAAACATGGGACCGACTCTCGAGAAATGCTTTCCCGATCACGACAATTTTCAAGTCTAGGGTTAACCGTTATTTTTCCCACATATCCTCATAAACATGGGACCGACTCTCGAGGAATGCTGTCCCGATCACGACAATCTTCAAGTCTAGGGTTAACCGTTATTTTTCCCACATATCCTCATAAACATGGAACCGACTCTCGAGGAATGCTGTCCTGATCACGACAATCTTCAAGTCTAGGGTTAACCGTTATTTTTCCCACATATCCTCATAAACATGGGACCGACTCTCGAGGAATGCTTTCCTGATCACGACAATCTTCAAGTATAGGGTTAACCGTTATTTTTCCCACATATCCTCATAAACATGGGACCGACTCTCGAGGAATGCTGCCCTGATCACGACAATCTTCAAGTCTAGGGTTAACCGTTATTTTTCCCATATCCTCATAAACATGGGACCGACTCTCGAGGAATGCTTTCCCGATCACGACAATCTTCAAGTCTAGGGTTAACCGTTATTTTTCCCACATATCCTCATAAACATGGGACCGACTCTCGAGGAATGCTTTCCGATCACGCGAATCTTCAAGTCTAGGCTTAACCGTTATTTTTCCCACATATCCTCATAAACATGGGACCGACTCTCGAGGAATGCTTTCCCGATCACGCGAATCTTCAAGTCTAGGCTTAACCGTTATTTTTCCCACATATCCTCATAAACATGGGACCGACTCTCGAGGAATGCTTTCCCGATCACAACAATCTTCAAGTCTAGGGTTAACCGTTATTTTTCCCACATATCCTCATAAACATGGAACCGACTCTCGAGGAATGCTGTCCCGATCACGACAATCTTCAAGTCTAGGGTTAACCGTTATTTTTCCCACATATCCTCATAAACATGGGACCGACTCTCGAGGAATGCTTTCCCGATCACGACAATCTTCAAGTATAGGGTTAACCGTTATTTTTCCCACATATCCTCATAAACATGGGACCGACTCTCGAGGAATGCTGCCCCGATCACGACAATCTTCAAGTCTAGGGTTAACCGTTATTTTTCCCACATATCCTCATAAACATGGGACCGACTCTCGAGGAATGCTTTCCCGATCACGACAATCTTCAAGTCTAGGGTTAACCGTTATTTTTCCCACATATCCTCATAAACATGGGACCGACTCTCGAGGAATGCTTTCCCGATCACGCGAATCTTCAAGTCTAGGCTTAACCGTTATTTTTCCCACATATCCTCATAAACATGGGACCGACTCTCGAGGAATGCTTTCCCGATCACGCGAATCTTCAAGTCTAGGCTTAACCGTTATTTTTCCCACATATCCTCATAAACATGGGACCGACTCTCGAGGAATGCTTTCCCGATCACAACAATCTTCAAGTCTAGGGTTAACCGTTATTTTTCCCACATATCCTCATAAACATGGGACCGGATCTCGAGGAATGCTTTCCGATCACGACAATCTTCAAGTCTAGGGTTAACCGTTATTTTTCCCACATATCCTCATAAACATGGGACCGACTCTCGAGGAATGCTTTCCCGATCACGACAATCTTCAAGTCTAGGCTTAACCGTTATTTTTCCCACATATCCTCATAAACATGGGACCGACTCTCGAGGAATGCTTTACCGATCACGACAATCTTCAAGTCTAGGGTTAACCGTTATTTTTTCCACATATCCTCATAAACTACACTTCTTACCTCTTGCTGTTATTGTTCATACAGCAGCCTTTTTCAGTAAACCTCTAATTAAAGTGGCTCTTGGGCCTTTTATAAGGTGAAAATTATTACAAAAATAAGAACGAGATAGTTTAATGAATTTAAAATGCACTTTTACAAAGTAAAATCTCTGCCGTATGCCAAAGTCAATATTGCAGTAATATAAATGGTAATGGGTTAGAGTTCAGGGACATTTGGATTCATGCATTTCCCTAGGCTGTTAAGGTAATATAAGCAGACGCTGTATAAGAACTGCTTGACCGTCTGCTACATTCATGTTTTATAATAGGTAAAAATCAATGTGTATGCGTCTAACAGTGTTAAGATTTGGATTGCTCAAAATATCTGGGATTGATTAATATGTGAAGATAGAAACCCATGGATGTTCGGCAGTTATTGTTTTCTGACACCTGAATAAGCTATCATCTTGTTGTAGACAATGTTAATGAATTCAGGCTGGACACTGTAAATCAGGAATTCGTTTTTATGGCGCGTTTAATCTTTCTGGTATTTTTTTAAAAAGTCTCCTTATTTGCTGTTATATTTGTGAATGCCCATATATATCTTTTTTTTAATCTTTTCGCGCCAAGCAAGGCGATAATGACACTAAGACGCATGGGTCTACCGGGAGTGAAAGAGAATGAGAAGACTTTATTGAAGAGAAAAGGCAATAGAAGAAGATAGAAGATAGCGATTGGCGTTGCATTTAAATTTTTGAAGATTGTAGGGGAAGCAAGAAACCGGAAGTGAGTTTCACAGGCAAGAAGTACAAGAAATGAAACTACTGTAATAGAATTTGTAGTTATATCTAGCTATTACCATTAACATTTATAAAATTCTTTTTTAAGAAAATATTTCAGTTTTTTG